ACCCCCACCTCCCCCCCACCCCCCAGAAGAACCCAAAACCCCCAGACCCTGACGCCGAAAAGGACCTCAACTCCCTCTCAAACCTTCTCGGCTCGATCCCCCTCGGATCATACCGGACCGCCGTCCGCGCCGCGAGCGTGGCCTCCTTGGTGTGGCAGCGCAGGGTAGGGCTCCAGGTCGCCAAAGGTCAGCAGGCGGGAGGAGAGCAGCGCTTCTTGGTAGGTCCAGCCGCGGTGGTTGATGGGGAAGGAGGTTGTTGAGGGGTGGTGGGTGGGTGTGAGGGTTAGGGTGCCTGCTGTTATGCTCGTGTTGGGGTTGGGGGTGGTGGTGGTTGAGGTAGGGGTTGGGGTTGCAGTTGTGGGGGTCAGTGTCATCGGCACCGAGACGGAGCGGTGTCGGCTGCTGAACTGGGCGTGGCTGGTTAGGAAGCCCTGCTCGACGGAGCTGGCTGTGGCCGCAACGATGGTGACGGCCGCGTTGGCGTAGATGTGCTGCATCTGGCTGATCTCGTCGCGCTTGTCTGAGGGGCTGTCCTGGATGATACACAAGGCATCGATCCACAGGTACTCGAACCCGAGATGGTAGGTCACGGCGATAGCATCCTGGAGAGTCCGCGGCAGGCCAGAAACGGGTGTCATCTGGTGCTGGAGCTCGTCGAGGTTGCTGTGCTTCAGGCTGAACTTCTGCGGTCCGCCCCAGCAATAGCTTAGGGCAATGTACTGCCCTTGTTGGCCACCTTTTGGTGTGACATGAAGCCTGATGCTTTGAGACGATGGGTAGTCCCTCGGGACATGGACCAGCCGGGTTGGGAGTGGTTGGGGGACAAGGGGCTCGCAGCGGGAATGGGCCGTCTCACACCTGTTTAGCAGAGCCTTTAATAACGGCGCCGACCTAGGACTCAACCCGTTCCAATCCAGGGGCCTGAAAGGTGTCAGGGCAGCGCATGGATCATCTGTGATATCATGAGCGTCAACAGTTCCCCAAAGTAACCGCACCTAACCAACTAACGTACCCTGAGCTGCCGTGACATAAAAGAAGGGGAACTCCCACAGCATGCGACCCTTGGAATTCTCTATCCTCACGCACATGAGGCTCAAAGCGCTAGCAGACAAGTTCTCACTCGTCGTCGCCAGCGAGGAAGGGAGCGGGAGGTAGTCGACCTGTCCCTGGACAGCCACGGACTTCTCGCAGCGGATCACAACCCACGATCCCGGGAAGCTTTTGGCATTATGTATTCTTGCGGCGCTTTGCGGGGGATAGACCAGATCGCGCAGACGGCGGAAAGCGAGTGGTTGCGTGTTGGCCCCGATCAGGTCCTCTTCCCAGAGAAAGCGGCAGAAGCGGCAGTCGACGCGGTCCTCGAAGGTTTCGAGTTGGGAATGCCTGAACCGGCCTTGAGAGGTAGTGTAAATCTCGCTGAGCCCCTGGACAGAAAACAGGACGCTGCACCGTCCGCACAGCTCAGGGGTGGGCTTAGGCGCTGGGTTGGATGACATGGCGATGTCGCGACGAACTGGGCATGACAGGTGATAGCAAATGGAGCTGGCAAGAAAGTCCGTTGTTCAAAAAGAGATGGAGTTGGGTTTCGGGACATTAGGTACCGACAAGGCTGCAGTTGAGCACCTCGGCTGTGCAATGGTGAGTGAGCCTTGTCAGCCCAAACACGGCGGGTTTCAGACCACAAGGGCAACGATGAAATACCCCGGCACTCAACCACCACCCACAATGGAACCACGCAAAAAAACGTCTTGACAGGCATATCTTTACAAAGATCAATGTGTCTACAATCCCGCCCCAAAACTCCATGCCAATGCACTCCCCAAATCTAGGTAGTCTCTGTATCAACTATTCCCTACAGCTCATCATGCCCCTCCTCCTTCTTCTCCTCGGTCTGCTTCTCGGCCTCCTGCTCCGTCCCCTGCTCCTGCTTCTGCTGCCCCTCAGCATCGCCATTTTCCTTCATAAACTCCTTCAGCATCTCCTCGAGCTCCTCCTGCGAGGGCATCTGGCCATCCTCGCCGACCTTCAGCGTCTGGGCGGGCTTGGCGGGCTTGGCGGCGGTGGACTTGGCCTTCTTCTTGTCCTTCTTCTCCTTCTTGGCCTTCTTGTCGTCGCCCGTCTTGCGCTTTTCAAAGTTGCGCACGCCCTTCATGGCCAGCTCCATCCCCGCCTTGTCCAGCTTGTCGCGCCGGTCCGTCAGGTCCTTGACCAGCAGCACCGGGTCGTCGGTGGCGCCCAGTTTCTCCTGCGCGGGGATCTTCTCCTCGAGCCAGGCCGAGATGGACGTGTACAGGTCCTCGCTGGCCTTGAGGTCCTCAAGCGTGTACAGCGGGGGCACTGGCCCGCGCTCCTTGAGGACGTCCTCCATGGCGGTCGCCGTGGTGGTGGCCGTGGTTTCCTCGTCTTCGAGGCCGTCAAAGTCGCCAGACGGGGCGGAGGGAGCGGCCAGTGGTGGAGTCGGTGGCGCTGTCGGCAGAAGCAGACTTAGAGGCCCAGGTAAGCTTCGTGCTCGGCAACCTTGCTCTTGATGTCGGCGATGAACTCGCTGGTGGCCTTGAGCGCATCCTGGAGTCCCTTAAGGACCTCGGGGCGCTTGGCGGTCTCGTCGATGCGCTTCTGGACGGGGACCACGATGGCCTGCAGCTCCTTGAGCTTGGACTTGAGCTCCTCCTTGGTGGCGTCGGCGCCGTCGCCGTAGAGCCAGTCGCTCGCGTCGTTGTTCTTGGTCTCTAGGGTGGCGCGTTCCTCGGCGGTCGAGTGGCTGATGAAGTCCTCCCTTCCAAGGATATCCCGCACAGAGTAAGTGTAGGCCTCAAGCTGGTTCAGCGCCTCCTCGCGCTGTCTCCGTGCGCGATCGGAAGCCTCAAAGGCCTTGAGGCGGTCCTTGAGGGCGATGGTGTCAGCCTTGGACAGCTGGGGCACACCGGCCTTCTCCAGAGTGAACTGGACGGGGATGACGACGAGTTCCTTCTTGGCGATGGCAGGCTTGGCATCGGCAGACTCGGAGGCAGAAGCTTCCGAGGCGGTGCTTGTAGAGGTAGAAGTAGTCGAGTTCTCGGCGGTAGATGAGGTCTCAGCCTCGGTCTCCTCAGATGACTCGCCGTCCTTGAGCGGCTGCTGTTCCTTCTTGCCAAAACCAAACAGGTTCTTCACGCCATCGACGAAAGTCTCCTTGGCGTCGGTCTCACACTCCACCGTAACCTTGGTAACGTCCACCTCGCCGTTCTCGCCAGCCAGACGGGTGGCCATCTTCAGCTTGATGTCGGCCTTTTCGCACTTGTGCTTCTCGACAAGCTCAGCCACCGACGCGGTCAGGTTCTTGGTGGTAAGCAGCTTGGTCTCAGCGTCGACCGAGCCAGTATCTGACGCGGGCGCGGGAACCGTCTGGTAGAAGGTGACGGAGAAGTCCTCCTGGTTAGAGAAGGTGACCTCTTTGGCGGGCCCGCCGATGTGCGACGTGGCGGTCCACAGACGCTGCTGCTTCTCCTTGCCTTCGTCCGTCTTCCACTTGATGCCGGCAGGGTAGGTGGCGCCCTCGGAAAGGCGGATCTCCTTGACGCGGAAGCTGGGGCTGAGCTCGGCCCCGCGGAAGCCGGCACCGAACACGGCAGCCTCGTCCGAGTTGACGTTGGTGCGGAGCTTATTGGCACCAAACACCTTCTCGAGCTCCTTTTGAACGAACGGGGTGCGCGAGGCGCCGCCGTGGAGGATGACGGAGTCGAGGTCCTTCAACTCGATGCACAGCCGCGGTAAGGGCGTTCTGGACGGCCACGGCGACGCGCTCGGCGTGTACGGCGGCCATCTCCTCAAACTCAGCGCGGGTGATCTTGTACCTGAAATCTACGTCGTCGTAGAGACCCTCGAAACCGGCCTGGGTGTTCTGGTTGGCACTGAGGATATGCCTGACGCGCTCGGCCTCCTTGGTGAGCTTGGCAATGGTGCGGCCGTGAGCCCTGACGGCATCTGCCTCGACACCGGCCTTCGTAGCCTTGGGCGAAGCCGCAAACTGCGCAATCATGTCATCCACGATCAGATAGTTCAGGGCGTCGCCACCGAGGGTCCTGTCCCAGCCGCTCCCGAGCACCTGCACTTCCTGCACCGTCTTGTTGAACTTGCCCACGTCCTTAACATTGCGGCTCTGGAACTTCAACACAGGTCGCCTTAGTCGACCCAGCACCCATATCAAAAACCATGTGGTGCTCAGGCTTCCCGCCCTCATTGACGTTGGGGAACTGCCGGCTAGTCGCGTAGTGCAGACCCACAGCCATACCATCACTAATCAGCGACAGCACCTTCAGCCCAGCCAACTCGGCCGCCAGCTCCACCGCGCGCTTCTCCTCAGCCGTGTAGTAAGTCGGCACAGTCAACACGGCCGAGCGCACGGGGCTACCCGGACCCGCCAGCTCCTCCGCATTTCCACGAATGCTCTGCAGCTCCATCGCCAACAACTCCTCCACCAACCAGGCCTCCTCCTCGGCGGTGAACGCGCCGGCACTCTGAAACGCCGCCGTGCCCTTGACCTTGTGACGCACGACCTGCAGGGCGGGGTGCCGGGCGGCGTACTCCTTCACCTCGGCGCTCTCGGCGGGCAGGCCCAGGAGGGCCTTGAGGTTGGGGTAGACATCGCCGGGGAAGCGGGGCGCGAGAGCGAGGGCGTCGGAGCCGTAGGCGCGTTCGGGGAAAGAGCCCTTTTTGGGTCCGTGAGCGGAGGGCTTGAAGGTCACGGCGGAGATTTCCTTGCGGCGCGAGTCTTTGGTCAGGACAATCTCGAGTGGGATGCCCGGCTTGACGAGCGCGGCCTTGATGTATTCGGTGCCGAGGTCGATGCCGACGACGGCGGATACGGCGAGGACTTGTGGGGTGAGGAAGAGAAGGAGGGCGAGGAGAGTGGCGAGCGGGGAGCGGAAGGCGGTTGGTTTTGTTAGATGCGCCATCTTGGGCGAGGGGTGGTGGTGGTAGGCGCGCAGTCGCGGGTTTTGGTTGACTGTTTGTCGAGGATGCTATTGCTGTTGGACAACGGCCCTTGAGAGTGCGGTGCGGGCGGCGTGGCGTACAAGTACTGTGGCAATAATTTGCTTCCCCAACCAGCAACAGCTCCAATTACCTAAAAACTAGGGAAAAGGGAAAATCTAAAACTCGGATGACGGTGAGGGCTGAATGACCAGCCATCTAGCAGAATCCGGCCTCAATTGCTGACCTAGTCGTTGAGGGGTGGTGGTTGCGCCGCGGGCACAACGTGGTCTCCATCACTTTTTCTAGCACGAGCTGTAGCTATTCTTTGCAAAAGGACAACTGGTGAGATGATCGGACCCCTGCCCGGTTGATGGAATGGCCAAGCTTTGGCCGAGATTTGGCCAATCAAGGCACCAAAAAGCCTGGGGTGTCGGCCATGGCTGCTGCCGCTCCGAGACAGGATTGGCTTTGAAGGGACCAATTAGCTAATTGCCAAGGGACTCTGCTTGGCATTAGCATAACGACACTTCTTCAAACCGCGATGGCGACACTGGCATCGAATCACGTAGAACAGGTTGGTTTCACTGAGGAATTCAGTCGCAGAGCTGCCGGTTGTGTGGGGTGAAGTTCCACTTCTCAATCTATGATTAATTCTCAAGAATGACCACTTCGGGGCATTGTCCGGAGATGCACGGGTAAGCTCCGTCCACGGCGCCGAAAAGGCATCACAATGTGGGGCCGAACCACCGGAGAACGGGGATTGACCCATATCATAAGTAGTGTAGAAAAGGATGGAGGGAGAAGGGATTAGTTTCCATGTGGTTGACGCCATCTAGTTGTTGGCAATTGCCTATGTGGTTATTGATCAAGCGCGAAAATAACAAGTGTATGGTGGATTAACGTTTATTTCTTTCATACAAGTAAACTATTTGCCTATCACCGAATTGTGTGAATAGCTTCTTCAATTTGAGTGGTGCCAAAATCCAAGCGGGAATGCAGCAAATAAACAACACCAAAAGAAGTGCCGAGAAAAAAACAACAACAATAGCGTGGCCAATAAAAAACCAAAAGCTCACGGGCCAGCCCCCCGAAGGGAGGTGTCCCGCTACGAAACCCGTATAGAGTTTACTCCGCCTGAGCGCTGCCCGACGAGAACCACCGCCGGTTGTTACCATTTGGCCAACCGTTGGTGCGATGATTCCCGTTGAAAACTCACGTCACAGACCTAATACATATAGCACGGACGGCACGTGCAGATGCCCCAGGCATGCCCCAGGCCCAACACAATGACACTGTGTTGGGGGACCGTGCGACCAGTTAGCGGCGAGGACTTGGGACGGAAAGGTCAATCAGACATAGGCCGCGGTAAAATACAGAGCCACAATGGTGAAACCACAAGCTGGTATTCTTCTAGCCTCTAAGCGCCATAATCCCACTCTATATCTCTACCCCCAACGCCACCACCACCCACAACCCACTGCATACTATCTCCTCCCGTCCCCAGCAGCCGCCTCCTCCCTCAACCTCTCCAACGCCCCCTCATACGCCTTCACCCTCTCCTCGCCAAACTCATCCTCCCCAACCCTCGCCCTCTCCACAGGCCCCTCCCTCCCAATACTCGTCACGGCGCCCTTCCCCTCGCCCGCAAAATCCCTCCAGAACCGCCTCGCCTCAGCATGCTCCACCAGCGTCCACGCGCAGCCCTTCCTCCCCGCGCGCGCCGTGCGCCCGACGCGGTGGACGTACGACGTCTCGCTGATGGGCAGGTCGTAGTTGATGACGTGTTCGAGGTTGAGCAGGTCGATGCCCCGGGAGACGAGGTCCGACGCGACGAGGATGCGCAGCTTGCCCTGGGCGAAGGCGCGCAGCGTGCGGGCGCGCCGCGACGTCTTGGTCGAGGAGGTCAGGGTGCCGAGGAGTGGGGCAAGATCCGGGCTGAGGAGGGCGAGCAGGCGGGAGAGGCGGAGAGCGGCTTCGTTGGATTTAGTGAAGATTAGGACGGTGGTGGGGAGGGTCGGCTTTTTGGTGGAGGTGGAGGTGGGAGCGGCTTGTTTTGTTCTTGGTTTGGGTTCGTCACCCTCGTCGCTGTCGTTGCTGTCGTTGCTGTCGTCGCTGTCGCCACTCTCGTCGTCATCCGAAGAGGAAGATGAGTCGGATTCGGCCTCTGACTCGGATTCTGATGCAGAGGAGTCCGAATCGCTGGTTTCGGATGCCACCGCGACTTCGTCGGAAATATCCCGGTTGACGGCAGTCATATGCTTGCTCTGCAGTAGGTCTACCAGGTACAGCGGCTTAAGACTCGGTTCGCGGATCTTGATGGCGTATTCCTTGAGAAGGGCTGGTAGGTTCTGCTCCCCAGCCTTGGTTCCTTCGACGACAATAAGCTTCGGCCGAGACAGCTTCAGTCCGTTCAAAAGACTGAGGTCCCGAGTCATTGTCGCACTGAGTATGACTTTCTGGACCCCACTCTTGTTGGAGCCGGGAAAGTCGCGGGCACCAGGTTTACCGATGCCCAACTTTTCAGTGACCGTATCCAGCCACTGCTGAAAGTCCTGCGCCAGCAGTTTATCGGCCTCGTCGACGATTAGCCAGCGGACGTAGTCGAGCGAGAACCCGGACGTCTTGGTGATATGCTCTACCAGCCGACCGGGGGTGCAGATGAGAATATCGACTTTGGACTCGTGGGCAATGACATGGGAAGGGAGCGGCTGGGAGCGCTCGAGTTCCAAGTTATCGTCTTCATCTCCGTCTTCGTCTTCCGAGTCTTCCAAATTAACGGGCCGGTTTTGCTTTTGCAGATATTGCTCGTATCCCTGGGGGTCGTATCTTTGCTCCTGGCTCATGATGACGGACTGTTCCTCCTTGAATACCCGGTTGCCCATTGCCGTACCAATCTTGACCCTCTTGCCCCCGTTGATGGCAAAGGCGGCTGTGCATGCTTCGAAGGCCAGTTGCACCTGTTGGACGAGGTCTCTTGTCGGCAGGACAATGAGTGCTCGTAATCTGGTAACACGGCCTTTGCTGATATCGTGGACCATAGGCAGCACATACGATAGCGTCTTTCCGGATCCTGTTGGGGCCGCAACGACTACGTCACCCTGCCTATCGGGGGAGGGTAGCAAGAGAGGGAGTACTGCGGTCTGGACAGCAAAAGCGTCCTTAAACCCCTTGGATTCGAGAATCTTGGATGATTCCGGGGAGATCCCCAACTCTGTAAACGGCCGCGTCTTGTCAGGGCCTACGCGTACTGGAGAGGCGAGCCATGGCGGCAGCGTCTCGTATGTCAGCTTGGACTCGTCAAAGATGACGGGCTCCGGCTGAGGGAGCGGTTCGAGGCCATGTTCCACCTCGGGTTCGGCCTCTTCCTCCTCGCTGACATCCTGTACGTCGTCCTTGGTCTGCAGCGCCTTTTGGACCTTGTCAAAAACCGACTTATGCCTCCTGCGAATACGGTCCTCGTCGCCGTCGAGCATATCAACATCGGGATTGCCTTCTTGCTTCCTCTTTTTCTTCTTTTCCCGTTTCGGTTTCCGTTCCTCCCCGGTAACTGCAGGCTCGCCCTCGGTCTCGCCGGTGCCGACAGCCTCGGAGTTCGATTCTAACATCACATCCTTCTCTTTTGAGACCTCCCCTTCAGAAATTATCGCCTTTTCTGCTGCATCCCTCTTGCGCTTGCGCGACTTGGACTCCTTCTCCTCGCCCTCGGCGCCATCTTGGGTATTATCCTTGCTCTTTTTAGACTTTGACTTTTTCGGGTTCTTTTCCTCGACCGTGCTCGTGAGCTCTTCGTCTAATTTCCGGCTACTCTTGCTGGGGTCAATTGGCGGGAAGGTGTCATCATCAAAAACAATGCGCTGTGGTTGCACGAGGGGCTGTAGCGGTTCTGCCGATGTCTGGCCGAGATTGGCGTATGGTCGGTCGGAGGCAGCCGATGTTGTTTGTGGTCTAATAACAAATGGCTTCTCTTTTTGAGGGGGTATGTACCGGCTGTACATTCTGAAAATCGTGAGGGAAGTCGAAAATGCTTCTCCTCAATGCTTGTGTTAGCTCCGGGTCCAGAAGTCTCTCCCTCTCTCCGGCAAAAAAAAGTTCTGGCAATCAAGCTTCCTGCATCCATGCTTGGCAAACTGCGCGAGTGGGGCATTTCGACGTGGGGTGCGGCAGACTTGAGCCAGAGCGGGCAGGCGGTGGAGGGAAAGCTGGCTCGGCTGGCAAACCCTTGTCGGTCTCGGCCATCCATCCCTGTCAGGGACAACTCAATTCATCCAAAGTCGCTTCATCTCACATCTCACATCGCGATTCGGGTTTCCCCCAACACCCACTCATTATCAACCCTCATCATCAACCGGTTGCGTCTTTGGGGGAAAATGATCCTTAGGCCATACCGCGACCATGGCGCCCACGTACAATATCGCCATGGTTAGCGACTTCTTTTTTCCACAGCCCGGCGGTGTCGAGAGCCACATCTACCAGCTGTCATCAAAACTGCGCGACCGGGGCCACAAAGTCATCATCATTACCCACGCTTACAAAGGCCGTACCGGTGTACGCTATCTTACAAACGGCCTCAAGGTCTATCATGTACCATTTTTTGTGCTCTACCGGTCCGCCAGTTTCCCGACAGTATTCTCATTCTTCCCCATATTCCGCAACATCATACTCCGAGAACGCATCGATATTGTGCACGGCCATGCCTCCCTGAGCAGCTTATGCCACGAGGCCATCCTCCACGCCAGAACCATGGGCCTCAGGACAGTTTATACAGATCATTCGCTCTTTGGATTCGCCGATGCCGCGAGCATTTTCGCCAACAAACTTCTGAAGTTCAGTCTCAGCGACGTGGACCATGTCATTTGTGTGAGCCACACATGGTGAGTGTTCCCTTTCACCTCCAACCAGCCAACCTACCCCGACCTCTCTAACAATCTCCCTTAGCAAAGAAAATACCGTCCTCCGCGCCTCTCTTGACCCGCTCATGGTCTCCGTCATCCCGAACGCCGTGGTAGCAGAAAACTTCAGGCCCTTGGACTACACCGAGCCCTCGCCACGCTCTTTCGCCCCTCACCACCCACCTCCCGCGCGTCCCCTTGGTCCGCATGACATGATCACCATCGTAGTTATCTCACGGCTCTTCTATAACAAGGGCACCGATCTCCTCACCGCCGCCATCCCACGGATCCTCCACAACCACCCGCACACACGCTTCATCATCGCCGGCGACGGGCCCAAAGCTATCGACCTTGAACAAATGATCGAACAAAACGTGCTACAAGACCGCGTTGAGATGCTCGGCCCCATCCGCCACGAAGAAGTCCGCGACGTCATGGTGCGGGGCCACATCTACCTGCACCCATCCTTAACAGAGGCCTTTGGTACCGTCATCGTCGAGGCCGCCAGCTGCGGGCTGTACGTCGTGTGCACCCAGGTCGGCGGCATTCCCGAGGTGCTACCCTCGCACATGACCGTTTTCGCGAAGCCCGAAGAGGACGACCTCGTGACGGCCACGGGCAAGGCCATCGCCGCCCTGCGCGCCAACAAGGTCCGCACCGAGCTCTTCCACGAGCAGGTCAAGAGCATGTACTCGTGGACCAACGTCGCCATGCGCGCCGAGCGCGTTTACAACGGCATCTCGGGCGCCATCAGCGAGGCCGAGTTCTACGGGTACGATGCCGCTAATGGCGCCGGCAGCTGGAGTGCCACGAGGGGCCGGTCTGGCGTGCAGAGTTTTGCGCTCATCGACCGGCTGAAGAGATACTATGGGTGCGGCACCTGGGCGGGGAAGCTGTTTTGCTTGTGTGTGATTGTGGATTATTTGATCTTTCTGGCGCTGGAGTTGTGGTTTCCGAGAGATCGCATCGATATCTGTCCGGACTGGCCGAGGAAGGAGAGGAAGGTCGACGGGAAGGATGCTGGGTGAATGACGCCTACGGGTATGAGGATCGAGGCGGCCACAGTCACCAGCTGTTGTGTCAATAGCGTGGGTGCTAATAATGCTATCTCAAGACGTCACAAAACGTTGCGGTGTATCTCCAGTCATAACGTCAAAGCTTGAGATCAGACCAACACAAAAAAAAGCAAAGAAAATGCTAGTTATCAACTGGAATCGAACAAAAAGAGCTGCTATAGTTAATCATCACAAACGGGATCTTATTGTTCGCAGGGGCAATTAACTCGCAGCCAAACCACTGAGCCACGAGAGCTTAGTGGGATCTGTTAGGAAGTAAACACAGCCCCGCGGGTTATATGCCACTCCTTCCTGCATACCTACGGCCACTGCGCTTCATTCCCTGCCGATAGCCATAGTTGAGCCCCTGAGCGCAAATACACCGGTCTACCTGTCCTTGACATCGTCAAGATCTTACCCATCAACAGTCTCATCAACCGACCCGAGCTTCTGCGATGACTACCCCCACCGGTTTCAATGAGCTGCCTACTAGCTTACATTACCTATCTAGGTAATAAACATCCTTCCAAGTTGTATTCCCACCACCGAGGCTGGGTAACGTACTACAACAATACCCACACCTACCAACACTTTCTTATTGAGTTCATACGAATATTGGCGGACGCCAGCGAGGCTTTTGCCCTGTCTTTTGAACCCCACGCAATTATTTTGAGACTTAACCCCCTGAGGCGGAAAACATACGTCTTCAACGTCTTGCCGACACACGGGTGAACTAGTATCGGAGGAAAGGCACACGGCGACAATGAGCGAGCAGGTAAACGTCTATGTGAAGAAGCTTGCCGGTCTGCACATTGCACATGGGCGAGAACTGGCAGAGGCACCAAGAATAAGAAGAGGAGTGAAACGGACGTATAGAGAATAGTATCAAGTCCCTTGGAAAGAAGCACTTACGACATGAAACTTAGAGGCGTTTCGATCGCAACACAGGTCAATGAATATTGATTGCGGCCAGATTGGTGATGCTCACCATCTCTTGACTAAGCAGCGACTAGAAAAATAGAAGCAAGGGCGAATCAGAATAGAGAAGTGATGGTGGTGTGAAACAGCGGAAAGAGAAAGAAACCACATCCTAATTCCGTCTCCTGAATTATTCCGATGATTATGGACCAGAAATTTGTCCTTATGCTCACTTCACTCCCTACATTGACACTAACGGACGAAAAGGTCGTTTCAATCTAGAGTCCGCCGACGGCAGGTCATATCAGACTGGAAGTACGGAGTGATATGAGAAACAACATCACACTGTGTCTTGGGGATGCCTAAACAATAGAATCTTTTGGATAGAGAATGCTCGTATAAAACTCAAAATACCATAGTCACCTCACCTTCATTGATTACATAGATAGGAAAAATCCATAGAAGGGGGCTTTGACATGTAGAATGGTCGAGCGGTTGTTGATCTCGGGCTGAACCCTAATACAGTCGGAGATATATACCTCATGTTCGAAACAAAGTGTCTATCTCCAAGAAAACGGTGGTTCAGGTCATATTTTGCCCATAACATGTGCTCATTGCTGTCTCGGCCTTTTCGTCTCGCAGCAACAGCCAGGATAAGTTGGAGACGTTCGACAACCTACATCTAGATACGCCGCCGGTGTCTCAGCCCTACCACGTGGAAAAGGGGTTCCGTCACCGCCGCCCCCTACAATGGACCTAGCAAAGGCCGTAAGAGGAGGAAGTTAATGTCCCACGCATTTGATTTCTGGCTACCCTTTCACTCGAGAAGCAAGCCCTTTTCTGACCATTGTTGCACATGCCAATCCTATCGACGCACCTGGCTCTTACGCCCCGAATATCTCCGTCCCGCGCAGATAGCTTACGAGGGATGCCATGATAACACCTACCCGCTGGTGCATTAAAATCAACCTTTGCAAGCTAGAACGGGCTATCCCGTATCCGCTTGCCGTGGAAACCGACAAGGACCGCACTTGCTCAATCCTTTGGTCATAGAAGGGGAAAGCTTACGGCCTCCCTTCTTCCTTGGCCGGACATATCTGGGGCCTCGGTTCACGCTTGCATCTCACTCACTGATCATGGCATATATACGTGAAGCAAGAGCATCCCCTGACTAGGTATTCCAATCATTGGATTTCAAACGGCCTAGGGGTCTCTTTCACCCCGATACCTCCAGAGAGGCTCACACCTGCCCGCCTTCGCAGCGTATGTAAACTCGGGGCAACCACTCTCCCACGCAAAGCCATGCCTGCTAGACTTTGAAATTCCCTTTCCAAACTAACTTTGCTCGTTCGCTCCCTGTTAGAACCACGTTATTCTTCCAGAGGCAAGCCCAGGGGCGTTTGGGTGGGATTTAAAACCCAACATTTGGTTCCCATCAACCTCCAACTCCTTTAATTGCTTTCCACTCATCGTCCATACCATCAACCGCCTCTTTTCGTCCGCTTGATCTCCATTATTATCAGGACATCCTGCCTTGCCGGACGCTCCTAAACCGAACGACGTCCCGGGCTCACTCACCATGTCCCATGGACTCACCGAATCCCCAAGTCGTCCATGATGCACCACCAACCAAGTTTCACACCCGCCCTCGAGGCCTCGTCCTCCCAACCAACCCCAGAAACTCCAACATGTTTGTAAGTCACACACACCCCCAGGCTCCCTTACTCTGCCCGTAACTCTTGAATGACACCGAGGCTCCAAAGTAAAACCGAGTGGTGCCTAGCACAAACCCGGGTTCCTGGCCCCCTTCAATCAGCAGCTGGCCTGTGCGAAACAGGTGTTGAGTCCCGCCTTGCCTCCTTTCCAACAAGCCATCAGCTCATCCATATACATTGTGGCCTCAGCTGCCATCGACTCTGATGAACCAATGGTCTCGACGTTGTCTTGAGATTGCCCGCGTCGGCTGGCCGTATTCATCATCGGCCATGGGCAGGTTTCAGGTGGAGGCCCTGGATGGTTGGGAGGTGTCGTGTCCAAAAAGCCTCGGAACTTCGGCGATGAAGAAGCTTGAGGTATGGTGGGATACATAAAGCCCACAATGTCAGCTTCGGTTAACAACTTCTTTCTGTCCCCCAGATACCCTCGGCGACTTTGCTAACCTCGATACAAGGCCATCGCTTCATATGCCCCCAAAACCCACATGTTGCCTCAGGGTATGTCGACACCATCAGGCGAAGACTCGGTTGCCTTTCATCATTGGCGTTGAAAAGGCGAGGATCCCCGATGAAAACCCCAAAGCGAACTGAGTATATACTATGATGTATCGATACTACGGTTGAGGGGACCTTGCAACACCACGGCGTGGCGTCAGCTTTTAGCTAACGTCTCTTTAGCTTTTGACAGGTTCGAACAAGCAGCCTCAGGGCAGGTCGACACCATCAGGCGAAGATTTGGTTGCCTTTCATCATCGGCGTTGAGTAAGGTGAGGATTCCCAAGGATAACGAACCAGTACAGCTGAGTATATACTTTGATGAGTGATAACGCAGCTGAGGGAACCTTGCAACACAATCTTGCGGCGTCAGCCTTTAGCTGACGCCTCTTAGCTTCTAACAAATCCGAACAAACAGCCTCAGGGCATGCCGACATCATCGGGCAGCGAAGACTCGGTTGTCTTTCATCATCGGCGTTGAGTAAGGTGAGGATCCTCAATGTCAAAACCCGCGTACTATGATGATTTGATACTGCCGTCGGGGAGATTTTTCAGCACGAGGGCTTTATTGGTTTTTGACAGGTTCTCGAAAACAGCCTCAGAAACCGCCAAATCCACAGATTGGCTTGCATCCCATCACCGGCTGCAGAAGAAAAGACATGGGCCATGGTAGGCAGCGGGCTGCGCTAAACGAGCACTCCCAGGAGCGACTGCGCTCCGTGATGGTGGACATCTGGGCGTCCGCCGCAGCGAAAGCAAGCTCGGAAGCTGGTATCCTCATGGAGGGCCCGTTGAGTGGCCTAAGTTGCAGGTGGAGAGAGGTGCGAGCATCGCCACTGGGGAATATATGGCCACAATCACCCTAGTATTATGCATCATTTCGGCGCTCAGTTCCCATGGTGCTGAGGCACGGTAGTGAAGGGGCAATCGGAGGATGGCTGAAGTTATCGAGCTATCGTGTTTGTATTTGCAAAGTGATTGTTCGTTGGGGGCGGGGGTAGATCGGCGAGTCTCGATTGAAACGGATTTGGTAGTTTCAATGAATTGTGGTGTCGGATTGCCGGGCACGTTTGTTGAACGTTGATGCTTCGTAATTGTTGAGTTGGTAGACATGTAGCCCATGGAACTTTCGTCGGCTGTTTGATGGAAAAGAGTGGCGTCGAGGTTAACTGATGGCGTGCGTGGTGAAAATGGTGGAAAGAGGAAGAGGTGCGACGGGGAATGAGCCAACCATCGATGTATCTATGGGCGACTTCTCCGAGCTAGGGCCCTTCTAATCAGTCGAATCAGTGAAATGACAAAAGAAAGAATATCTAGCAGTGGCAAGACAGGGCCTACACAGCAGAGGTTGTTTTCGAATGACTCTCGAGAAGGACGTCCGTATTGCCTCATTGGTCGAGCCACTATTCTCGGGCCCAAAGCGGTAATATGACGTAAGTGCTCCAGCTTTCACCATGGTTCCACGGTGTGAGCCACAAGCCAAACTTAGAGGAAAAATAAAACAAAGTAACTAAAGGAAGCTGAGCAAGAAGATTAAATAAAACTGGATCAAATAAATAAAAAGCGCATGGAGTATCGTTGCTTTCTAGCTTCTAAATGGCTTTTATTCCGTTGCTGTAGTCAAACGTTTCGTCGATGTCTGCGCTTGGAGTTTGGCTCTTTCAGTTTGTTCACGGGGTGCTGGCCTCGTCTAGGTACACCAGTTCCTCGACATCAAAGCTACATACAAAACAAACATTGTTGCATTGGGGCATCACGACATGAAATACTTCGAATCAAAATTCATTTGAGCCCCCCGCTCAACAACACACTTTGCCCAGTCAAATACCCCGTCTGGCAGAACATCATCACAACATTTGCCACCTCCTTCGGGGTCCCCAACCTCCCCACAGGAATATTCCGCACATCCCCCGCCGTCCCCTCGAGGACCTTCTCGTCCGGGATGAGTCCCGTCTCCCCAATCATGGCAGGAGCCACATCATTAACCGTGATGCCGTCCTTCGCATGCTTCGTCGCGAGACTTTTCATTAGGCCATGTAGCCCCGCCTTGCTGGCCGCATAGTGGCACCCGTTGATGCCGCCCCCGTGTGCCGCCAGCGACGATACAAAGATGATGCGGCCCCACCCGTAGGTGATCATGTGCGGGAGGCTCAGCTTAGAGAGGATGAATGACGGCCGCAGGTTGACGTTGAGGGTGTAGTCGAACTCGTCGATGGATATGTCAGCGATATCTCGGATGCGCTTGCCATAGCCGGCGTTGGAGATTAGAATATCCGGGCCTTTGCCGTACAGATGTTGGATGTCGTCGAAGAGCCGCTGGATCTCTTCGGCTGATGCCACATCAACTCTGTGCGTGGAGATGGATGGACTGAGCGCGTTTGGGAGGACGGTAAGCCCCTGGAGTTCTTCTTGGAGTGCAATAATCTTGTCTCGGTTGGTGGAGTATGTTAAGACGAGATTGACGCTTTGAAGATATAGCGCTTTGGCACAAGCGGCTCCGATGCTGTGTGGTGTTAATGATATGGCACTTTGGTACTATCCTGGTTGGATTTACCCTCCAGAAGCTCCCGTGACCAGGGCAAGCTTGCCTGCGATGTCATTATCGACGGTAGGCATTTTCAGGTGTAAAATGAAAGGCACCTCAATATGCCTAAAACGAGCAATTTCGATTTCTCTATCGGTGTGTAGAGGCTGCACCCAGAAACCGGGTACCTGACCCCGCTGAGGCCCTGCCGGCAAATGTCAGCTCATACCCCGCAGCCCCTCGGCGCGGATCTGTCCACTTCGCCACGGAACACCCCGCGATCGACAAAACGTTATGGCCGGACCGGCCGGCCTCACCCGGTATAGATACACGGACTGACGACTGGCGGCGACATGTTTGTGGGCAGCTTTTCAGGTTGCAGTGTTGTGTTCTGCCCGCCCGTGGAACATTTAATTTAACAAGCCGGGAATGTGCTCGCCTCTGGTGGATACGCTGTGGCGCGATCCTCCTTTCTGTGCAAATAACATTTTCAAACCTCACCCAACGACAACCACAAACACCAATTATCCTGACCAGTGCGTACAACACGTAGGCTGCCCGTTCACCGATTTCTGATCCCATTTTTCTAATACACGAACTCGACACAGGCGCAAGCCAAGCCAAACAAAACAGCATGGGAACGCCGTTCATCTCGCTCCTCGAGCCAACGGCGCTCGACTGGGAGCGCGGGCTGCCTCCCGACGAGCAGCCGAACGCGGCCTCCATCCCACGCACCTTCCTCGACGCCATGACAGTGCGCACGCAAGTCTTCGTGCAGGAGCAGCAGATCCCGCAGGCCAACGAGTTCGACGCCGACGACCAGCGGTGCGCGCACTGGGTCATCTACGCATCCGTCAACAAGACGGTCGCGCCCGCCGTGACCGACCCGGACACGGGCGAGGTGCTCTGCCCCCGCCAGAGCGAGACCCAGTCCGTGCCGATCGGCACCGTGCGCCTCGTGCCCTTCCCCCACCCGCCGCACCCGCTCAACGGCGGCGTCTACGTCGACAACGAACTGATTCGGTCCGAGTCCGAGTCCGCACAAGACAACGACAAGCCAACCGAGCCCACCACCACCACGACAGCCCCCACCCAGCAACCCACCTTCACCCCCGACCGGCCGACGACCTTCCACGACGGCATCGAGCCGTACGTGAAGCTGGGCCGGCTGGCCGTGATCAAAGAATTCCGGGGCCGGGGCATCGCGGGCCAGCTGGTACGGACAGCCGTCGAGTGGATGCGGACGCACGGGACGTACTTCGACCCCAGCCCCGCGGCGCGGGGGTTCGAGCACCTGGGCATGGAGCGGCAGGCGGGCGCGCTGCCGCCGCGGTGGAACGGCCTGCTGTGCTGCCACGCGCAGGAGGACGCCGTCAAGGTGTGGGAAAAGTGCGGGTTCCGCGTCGACGAGGGCATGGGTCGGTGGTTTGAGGAGGGGATTCCGCATGTGGGTATGTTCTTGAGGGTGGACGCGGAGCCGGAGGTGAAAGCGCTTTGAGGCCGGTGGAAGGAGATCCGCGTTGGATTGTTTGACCTTTCGCGGGGCATTGCCATATTTCGATGGCACGTTCATAGACATTAGATCGCGATACCACACATGTTGTTTTCCTTTTCTTTTTTTTTTTTTTTCACATTCCAAACGGACAAGAGGATAGAAACCAAAACTCCACGTTACGAGCATAGCACAGTACCGCACCAGAGACGCCGTTTCTTGTCAGAAGATCACCATTTGCTCCCTTTTTTGCGAGAGCCCTATTTGTGCCTGTGTGACAAGAATGCCATGCATCCACCAGACCGTAACGCGCAAAAGCAGCCCTGCAAAAAAAGCCGTAAAATCCGTCCCGTCCCGGTCCAATATGCCATCCGCCCAAACAACCCTTTACCGGTTGCTCTTGGCCACACGCTCCAACTCGTCCTTCTTCTTGATAGCGTACGAGTTGCTGCTGCCCTTGGCAGCGTTGATCAGCTCCTCGGCAAGGCACTCGGCGATCGACTTGACGTTGCGGAAAGAGGCCTCGCGAGCACCAGTTGTAAGGAGGGCAATAGCCTGGTTAACACGGCGCAGGGGCGAGACATCGACGGCCTGTCTCCGGACGGTACCAGCCGAGCCGATACGGGTGCTGTCTTCGCGGGGACCGCAGTTGACAACGGCGTCGACGGCAATCTGGATGGGGTTCTGGTCGGTCATGAGGTGGATCTAGATACCGGTTAGAATGAGTGCCTCCTCCGGATTCCAGGTTCCCATTTCTCACAATCTCGAAGGCGTGCGCAACGATGCGGACGGCCATCAGCTTCTTGCCGTTGTTGCGGCCGTGCATCATCAGAGAGTTGGTGAGGCGCTCAATGATGGGGCAGTTGGCCTTGCGGAACCGCTTGGCGGCATAGCGACCGGCGGAGTGAGGGAGGTAGACAGGAGACCGGATCTGGATGTAGTCGCTACAAGCAAACGTTATTAGCCTCCGGTTACGCAGCCCGCCCGAGAGTCCGCCCCAAATCGATATCGGCCCATCTCGTCGCGGAATTGGAAGGTTGCTGTCTTACGTCAGGGAGATATCCCGGATCTCAACATCCTCATAGCTCCAACGGTCTGCAATTGACACAATGTCAGCCTCGGGTCTCGGAGATGGCTTTTGCCGTCGGTGCATCGATTTGCGGTCGCATTTGCAGAGCGCGGGAGTTGGACATACTGAACAGCTTGACGCTGCCAACCTCGGCCAGGACCTCCTTGGGGAGGACCTCATAGCTGGAGGAGGCCACTTCGACTTCGCCTTCAGACATGTTTGCGGTAGTCGGCTGCTGAAAAGCTGAAGGTGGTGATGGATTGGAAGTTTGGCGTGGAGGACGACGACACAGAAGGCTTGAAGCGTGTGGTCGTGAATTTTTTGGTGGCCCCGCCGAAGTGGCCTGGGCGGGTCCGCAGCCACTCAGAACGCCCCATTTAATTAGGGCTCGGTTAACCTAAGCTTTACCAGCGGCCCTCTGTCAGAAAAATCTCCCCGCCTTCTTTGATTCGACTCCCGACTCCAACCTTCATCAAACCACCAGAACATCCATCAAAATGGCTCCCGCAGCAGCTGGTGCGAAGAAGCAGAAGAAGAAGTGGTCCAAGGGGAAGGGTAAGCGATTTTTCGCGCCAGCGGATTTCCGACGCATTGGACCTGACGACAGCCGCTAATTCGTCCGCGAACAGTCAAGGACAAGGCTCAACACGCCGTTATCCTCGATAAGAGCACTTCAGACAAGCTTTACAAGGATGTCCAGTCCTACCGTCTCGTGACGATCGCCACCCTCGTCGACAGGCTCAAGATCAACGGCTCGCTCGCCCGGAGGTGCCTCAAGGACCTGGAGGAGAAGGGGCAGATCAAGCAGGTCGTGGGACACAGCAAGATGAAGATCTACAGTACGTTGCGCGTAGTTCAGGTGATAGCCCAAGGTCAATTACTGACAAGAATGCCCAGCTCGTGCCGTTGGCGCTGCCGAGTAAACCTCCCATAAATCATATCGACGGACCTGGCAAGCGGGAATGCGACTTCGTTAACGGCGGTTCGCTTGGGGTTTCGGTTATTCGGGCATGGCTACGTCTCTGGGCTTGGGATTCATTTTGCAGCTCGGTCGGTGTAGCATAGGGATCGGAAGTGCTCCAGATCCTGAGACTGGAATTGCATCAAGATACGAACAACGCCGCGGCTCCGCCCTACCAGGGCTAGGGTATGATCAATCAGTCGACCATGCCGAGATGACACTGTGAGGGCCATGGATATCGGCTCAGTGTGTCCCCTTCAGGGAATGGGCGGGCGCATCAGCGTAGCGAATTGATACCCGTCAAACACTTGGGCTGTTCTGGCTCCCTGGCTTGACTGTTATGTTTGCTTTGACTATCATGTTCCCTGAGTCTCCGCCTCGCCAAGAAGACTGAGCTCATGCAACACCTCGTCTTGACTAGATTCGTCTCGTTCGGGCAGACATGCATGCGCGAATCGCTCAAACGGGCTAACGTACGTGGAAGAGCCCTCGGGTATTCATACCTTAGTTGGGTTTGACATTAAAGCAACACAAAGTGGGTTTTCCTCCGTCTGTCTGTTTCTGGTCTGCATGTTTCTCGACCTTTGGCCCCATTAGGTCGTAGGAGCCAAAGTAACGCACACAATGGTGAAGTGAGGGGTTCATGGATATCTTGGTCTCAATAGTCCCTCATCCGCACGCTCTGAATTTCAAGGCACCACGTTCATCCCCCCGGATAAGGACCGGCCCTGTGGATATTTTATTTCAGGCCCTGGCAGCATCAAAGACTTCTCTGGGGCCCAATTGACACCGTTCCATTGGCTGCGAAGACTTCTCGGAGGTTTTATTAGGCTCGTGGAACCTTTCAAGCCAGCAACATTTCCAGTCCCCCAGCATGTCTGGGAACATGGCCCCGACTCGGTCTTTGATAAGGATAGGGGGAGGGCAACGATGGGCTAGATCAACGTTGAAAATAAAACAACGGTGAACGAGGTGACTAACCAATGTAATACAACCACACAAGCCGACAACCTTGGTGGTGTTGGTCCAGTTTGCCGCATGTGAGGGAAATTTTTGAGATCCAGACCCGTTGTGGCTCGCCAAAGGGCACTCCCATTCGGCCGCCCGGCTTCAAGATTGCAAGAAAGACTGGGACCATCGGGCTTTGCCGGCATTGCAAATCCTTAGCGCCACTGGCAAGGCTGGAAAAAGACCATGCTGCCCAGTCGTTGCCGCGCACCCGTGGCGGTGTTATTTGGCCCGTGCGCCAGCGGGACCAGGGGCCGGCAAGAATCGCACCTCAAAAGCTGGTCCTTCCGAGCCGTTGCGAATTTTTTTCCCTCTCCCCCCCCAAACCCGACGGTTCGCAGAATTTATTTTCGCGCGACATCCTGCATCGTCCATCTTCTTAGACTCTCGCAGCAGAGCTTGGACTCCCCTCTCCACTCCCTTCTTTTTTCTTCAAAGTTGTCTTTGAACAAACCGTCAAGATGTCTAAAAAGGAGGATATCAAGATCCTGGGCATGCCGGTAAGTCGTTGAATCTCTGTATCGAAAATCGCTCGCTCCATTACGAATCGCTGGGATGTTTACCTCGGGGCACCCCGCAATCTCAATCGCAACCACAAATGATTGCCAATGCCTTGGTCGGGTGGTTTCTGCGATGATGGGTGTGCGTGGGGTGCGGGACAAACAGACCTCGATCGCTTTGGAGCCTTGGTTTTTAAGCGGGCAACCCCTAAAATGAACATTCCGCTAACCCCTCCTTTCACAGTCCTTCGTGGTCGACTTCCTGAGTACGTGAACGAACACCACCTCGGTATAAGCTTGCTGCACATCGATGACAGACGCTGCCGAGGATCCCTGCGCCGCAGTTGGCACCAACTCGGAACACATTGCTGACCTGTACCCACAGTGGGTGGTGTCTCCGCCGCCGTCTCGAAGACTGCTGCTGCGCCCATTGAGCGTATCAAGCTCCTTGTCCAGAACCAGGTACGTCCTGCTGTGTTTCCCAGGACCCGCCTGGCTTCGTGAGTTTCCGATCGCTTGAGCCGCAATTTGTGACAAGCATGCCGATCGCAACTCTCGGTGTCACGTGCAAACATGGTCCTATAGTATTTCCAAGCCAAGAACTTTGCTGATATCCTCCTAGGATGAGATGATCAAGGCTGGCCGCCTCGACCGCCGCTACAACGGTATCGTCGACTGCTTCCGCCGTACCACCGCCGATGAGGGCCTCATGGCCCTGTGGCGTGGTAACACCGCCAACGTCATCCGTTACTTCCCGACTCAGGCCCTGAACTTCGCTTTCCGTGACAAGTTCAAGGCCATGTTCGGCTACAAGAAGGAGCGTGATGGCTATGCCAAGTGGATGGCTGGTAACCTGGCCTCCGGTGGTGTAAGTTTTGTCGCCCATTTGCCCCTGGCCTATGACTGACCTTTTGAAGGCCGCTGGTGCCACTTCGCTCCTTTTCGTGTACTCGCTCGACTACGCGCGTACCCGTCTTGCCAACGACGCCAAGTCGGCCAAGGGTGGTGGTGCCCGCCAGTTCAACGGCCTGATCGACGTCTACCGCAAGACCATGGCCACCGACGGTATCGCCGGTCTGTACCGTGGCTTCGGTCCCTCCGTCGCCGGTATCGTCGTCTACCGTGGTCTCTACTTCGGCATGTACGACTCCATCAAGCCTGTCGTCCTCGTCGGCTCGCTCGCCAACAACTTCTTCGCCTCGTTCATGCTCGGCTGGTGCGTCACCACTGGTGCCGGTATCGCCTCGTACCCTCTTGATACCGTCCGTCGTCGCATGATGATGACCTCGGGTGAGGCCGTCAAGTACAAGAGCTCGTTCGATGCCTTCCAGCAGATCGTTGCCAAGGAGGGTGTCAAGTCTCTCTTCAAGGGCGCTGGTGCCAACATCCTCCGTGGTGTTGCTGGTGCTGGTGTGCTGTCCATCTACGACCAGCTCCAGGTCCTGATGTTCGGCAAGGCTTTCAAGTAAACTGCCTCACCCACTGTACAAAATCTTCGATGACGGAGGCCGTCGGGGGATAATCGCGGTTGCGGCAGCTGGCTAAACCGAGGGGAGGAGGGGTAGGGGGGCGTGGTCGTTTCGCTGGGAGACGGGGATCCATCGTGGCAGTCAGCAGATGCTTCTGGACGTTGGGTATGCGGGGAACAAAAACTGGGCATGTCTGGCGTTTACTGGGACGCGGATGGGCCGGTCACCCGCTGTAATTTATACTCTTGAGCCATTCCCGGTTTATTCCTTGCTTGCGTGGGGTCGCCGTTGCTTCGCGTGGGTGTTTCCTTCTGTTGCATGCGCCTCATAGATCCCATAGTTCTGGCCAATTGATCGGCAATTTCCTTGCGGTACGAAATACTTCAGCTCCCATCCCAAAAGCATCCTTCCCAAAGTAGAGTGGAAGTCATGATAATCAGGTGTTTTGGTGTTTGCAGGCCGTGTTTGCAACACGACTTACGTAATTTGTTTAATTCACGCGTCGCGATTCCGTTTTCCACACTGCCGAGTAAAAGTACATCACACCGATTGCATCGACAATATCTTCATTTGAGTTCCTTTTCAACCGCACACACTAAACTAACTCAAAACGAATTGCTTCAGCTGACAATCGGTATTGCACCTGAAGCCACTGTCACCCAAATAAAAAATGCCACCGCGCGCATCAGGCAGCGGCTCTGCATCCCGCGGTCGCGGCAGAGGTGGTGCATCAGCCAACAAATCCACATCTACCGGCCGAGGCGCGGCAGCAACAGCCAGTTCTGTCCCTCGACGCGCTGCTTCCAGAGGAAGGGTTGGAGGTACTTCCCGAGGCGGAAGGAAGCGCCCACAGCAGGAGGAGGAGGACGACGACAACGAGGAAGAGCAGCCTGGGGTGGTTGATTTAGAGGACGGGGATGTCCCGATGCAGGGGGGAGATCGGGCTTGGGATGGGGGTGTGGATGGGTTTGGGGTGCCGGGTAGGGGTGATGACGAGGGGGGTGGTGATTATGATGAGGAGGAGGAGGGCCGGGAGAAGATCCCGCCGGAGTTGTTGACGCGGATTCTGCATGCCTTCTTTGAGCGGGAGGGGACGAGGATTACTAGGGATGCGAATGCCGCCGTGGCGAGGTATATGGATATTTTTGTGAGGGAAGCGATTGCGAGGGCGGCGGTGGAGAGGTCGTCTGGGTTTTTGGAGGTGAGCTTCCCTCTTTTTTTTCGTTGTTTTGGGGATGGACTTTTTTTTTCGAGGGTGTGGGCACCGGGCTAACCTTGATGGATACTTAGGTTGAGGATCTTGAGAAGATTGCGCCACAGTTGTTGATGGACTTGTGAACTGGTAGCTGGAGCGCGCAACTTCGCAAAGGACCTTTCAACCGCACCACCACCTGTGCTACGACCGCTATCGACGGCAAATGGGAGGCGGTGTTAGAGATCCGTACTTGATGCCTTTGGCTCGCCATGCGCCCTCCGCGGCTACCGCAAGCCATTGACCTGTCTCTCAGTGGTTAGGCATGCTCCGAGGATGCCCCCCAGTATCGACGTGGTTTGGCCCGCCTTGACAAAAAATTATCAATGACAACCATCATGGCAAGTCATGACCAATACCACGCTACAGGCCTAAAGCAGGACAGTGTGTAACTACCGGTACCGAGCAGCTGGGTGGTGGTGTTTCCAGCGGCAGCGGACCTGCTGCACCACAGGAGAGCATAGGGCGCCCCTTATTTGGGAAACAACCTCTAACGATGGGCTCAACCGAATACCACCGCGAAGCGCAAGACATCATCAGGCATCGGTGCTCGAACAGACTGGGGATACCAGCCATATCCGTTGGTTACCCTCGTGTTCCACGCGCCGAAAATGTCTCCTCAAGCCCCACTACCCTACTTGTCCATCGGTGTGATAATGGCTAGCGTAGGTAGTTAAACAGACTCCAAGTACCCCGCCTATCCAGGGCTTCCTCACTCCCATGCCATCGTTCAGCCGTGCTAGCAGGGGTTATTCTCGTTTAGATTTGCGTAGCTGAATTCTGTCTGGACCGAATGGGTACCTAGTCTCCCAACATTGAAGATCGAAAAATCGCTCTGGTTTTGATGCTTTCCGATTTTGAGTCCTCTGGCTTCAATAGAAAAACTCTTGTGGTCGGGAAAGGCGGCGGGCAAGCGAAGCGCTCGGTGACGGCTTTGAAACTCCAAGACGTTTGACAATTGTCAGAGGCTGTGGCAGAAGCCGGAGTACCCCTGTCACCCCCTGTGGGTCGTGTTCCACCTAACGGTCCAGCCCCAGCATGCCCCCACAACGGCGCAGCCTGCAACCGCAACCTTATTTTCGGCTCCAGCTTCGTCCGGTGAAGTTCAACCAATCCGCCAGCTTCGAATCAGTCCAAGGGAACTTTGTACGCGGGGCTGTCCGCGCAACCCGTGGCCGCGACCACCTTTAGGCCAGTGATAGTACGGTCTCCGATGCTTACTGGTATTTTAAGCGGACAAGAAGGCGCCAACATGGCCGGCAACCCCAGTTTCCGTCTAGGCTCAAGCAAAGTTCATTCTCTAATGTGCAGCCCACCAAGTCGATGATGGCTAAGCACCTAGGTTTGCAGTGAAGAAACCCTTTCCGAATATCACGATACTCGGGCGGCTGCACGAGGCTGCTCGCCACAGGACTGATTGGGGAGGATTGCCGGTTGGGACGTTGAGGTAGCCGGAGATGTCGGACAGCCTGGGTCCCTTCAAACTGTTCGTAGCAAACGTCACCTAGGTTGCCTCACGATACCCCCGACTCAAACGGAAACTCCTTGTAAAATCCAGCCCTAACAGGCGAGCTTCGTGAGCATTGTTTCTTCTTCTTTTCATCTCCGTCTCCTGTGATTCGCTCTTGCACGCCTCCTTGGTACGCTCGACGCCCAAGTCGGGGGCAAAACATCGCGATGTTTCAAAAACTTCAGACCTGACCCCGGTCCCTGCACCGGCACCCCCTTGCGCCTCCACACCCTTCCGCCATGGCCTTGCTGCACCATCGGACGATCCTTCACTCTCCCGACGGCCGCCCGGAAACTGTTATAATTCATGCCGTGTCCTGATCTTCAAGCCCGGGCTTCTCTTTTCTCTCCATCCATCCGTCCATAGTCATCTGTCGAGGTCCCCTCCCTTTCTAGTCCATTTCTCTTCTTTTCGGTGCCCGTCACCTTCTTATATAATCTTCGCCACAGGCTAGCCCTGCTATTGTTTCACAGAACTAGTCGCTTTTGATCCCTTCAGTCACTCTTTCGACGAGCCGAACTATCGCCTTACGTGTGGGAAAACACATCCCACATCATCAAAATGCAGTACACAACACTTGCCCTCACCGCTCTTGCGCGCGTGGCATCTGGGTTACTCTTCGATACCACCGAAAGAGTCTCGAGGGATTAGGAACCGA